GATGAATTCGCACGCACGTGACGGTGAGTCGCGCACGTGTCTATGAAATTTCAGGTATTATTTCAATTATCGTTTCCCGCGCCGATATCCATACGCAAGTTGCGCTCGAAACGTGCCACCAGAGCCGCAATTGTTTGTTCCCTCGGTAAACGTTTTAATTGGATATCCCGATTTTTTATATTTGTTCATGTTCGATATAATATTTATTTCCGATTTGAGTTTATTTTACCTATGATTCCATTTTTTTATATTTTCGCATAATCTCATCAAATTCGACGCGCGAATACTGCTATTTTTTTTTATTTGATATTCTTCGATAGCGTTTATTTCTCTCTCTCTCTCTCTCTCTCTTTCTCTCTCTCGACATGCGATTTAATTTTTATGTTGCGTTTCTCTTTGCGGAATTTTTCATTTAAACGGACGCTTAAATTAACGTCAAGAAACGCGGGAGTGCATTTCGTTAAGTCGCACGTTGTATGTATGTGTAAGGTACTAACGACAGTTCCGCCGCGCTTCAAGAACAAATTGAGCAACGGGAACATTTGTGAAGCATATCCATGTACGAACGAGTGGTGGTGACTACAGTCGACGCGAATGCATTCGCAGCCGTGATTAATGCCAATCAAGGGGCGATTTCGCGTTCTGAATTCGGGATCCGGTTAACGCCAGGAATCAATAGACCCGCAAACCGAACCGATTAAGGATGCACGAGCGAGTAGAACCGCAAATCTAGAAATGCAGTGTGGGTGTTTCGGTCTGAATAGAGGATAACTAGGATTCCATAGCTAGTTACACCGTTTTACATTCCGCAGTACGCCGCAATCCCGCGCCGTCTTACTGACCGAGAGTGTCGTGGCGCAAAAATTCGGGCGAGATCGATACAACGGCGAATCGCTCCATCAATTATCGATTAGCGCCTCGCCATCGGAATACAGCCGAAGCGCGAAACATACACTCACCGACACAATTTTTATTTCACGCGCCATACTTTTCGTAGTGAAAATGTGTGCACAAATACCGCCTTTCAAAACCACAAAAAAAATATTAATATCAATTCAAAACGTATATTCTCGTACATATAAGCGAAGATATATAATTTTACATGAAGATAAATCTTGCTTTTGTACATGAAGAAATTCCATATATAGTTCCATTAAAAATATATTTATATTGCTCAAGAACAATTTTCATTAAGTGAGGAGGAAAAATATTTGATAGAAAGAACGATATCTTCAAACTGAGAATTGTATCAGTTTGAAAATATCGTTCTTTCTATCTAGTATTTTTTCTTCTTAATTCATAAAAATTATTTTTGAATAACAAAAATATGATATTTTTAGTGGTATTATACTGAATCCCTTCATGAAAGGCCAATTTTGTCTTTATATAAGATTAGATTTCATATAAGATTATTATATTATTCACACATGTAAGATTATATCATAAAATTATATTCTTGCATATACATGGGATTACGAGTCTTAAATTGATATTAACTTTTTTTCCTCGCAGCTTTCAATCCATCACTGTTCAGCTTTAACAATTCTTTAAAATACAATTCGTTAATTTCTTTCTTAAATATTTGTTTTAGATATTACTAATATCGCACGGGATTCGAATCCAATAAAAAAAAATTAAGTAAAATATGTAAAATAAGAAATTTATGTTTGCAAAATAATCCTCAAATGTTGTAAATTAATCCAGGGATGACATAATTTCAAACGAAATTTCGGCAAATTGGTTGCGAAATTTATAACGGATTTTCGCGAGAGGCGAAATAAGCTCAGCATGTTCGCCGTTTTTCTTCGATTTAAGATAACAGGGGATCCGTGATTGCATTACTAGTGCGACCAGAAAAAGACAGAAGCCGATATATGAGCGTGTTGTCTCACCGGAATACACCTTTGTTGGTCCTCACCCTCGGCCTACATCGCGACAATGCAGCTTCGTACTTCAATAAATGTTTTGGAAAGATTCCCTACACAACATAAACACGTGCGACAATATTAACGCAGCGAGTCCAATTTTTTGTATACTCCCTACTATCGCGACCCACGTTTATTCTCTCTAGAAAATCGGCAAAGCCACGGAAAAACCATGGGAATCATGCGTGCAACGAATTGAACGGTCTTCAGACTCATTAAGAGCGCTTGTTACGCAACGATTCACCGCGCACGCACACACACACACACACACACATCCACAACGATTCGTGATCCTTGATAAACGTCGCGTGTGTAGCGATACTTGTCTCCGTTTAATAAGATCAACATCGAACACCCATCGAAGAACACCGTCGGTTTTTCTATATCTCTCTTTCTCTTATTCGGCCTCGGAATCGATTCCGTCAGTTAGCGGTCTATGAATAGCGCAAAATCCGGATTAAGAAACGGATCGAACGACCCCGCGGAGGGGACGGCAAAGTAGCGTGGCGTTGCCCGGGGGACGACGCATTTCTCCGGTAAAATATATAAAAGGTCGCGAACGAGGTCACCCATATGCCGAGCGGGAGTAAAAGGGCCCTTTAAACCTTCGCACGCCCAACCTGAGAGAGAAAAAGAGAGAGAGAGAGAGCATATTCATGCCTTATTAAAACAAATAGCGCCTTTAATCCTGCGGCGAGGACATCGCGCACGCGTCTTGTTATTCAATAAACAGGACGTCTATAGTGGCCACCGAATGTCCTTCACCTTACAATTTTTTGGTCACACGGAAAAATTAGAATATTTTCGGTCTCAATTATATCCTTCTTTTGATTTTAGTCACAAAAATAGTGTGCGATATGCATATGAGGTCATTATGACTGACACTGTACACTGTATTGTTTTCCTATATTTATTAATTTGCCCTTACCGCAAAATAATTGGTAAATTCAACAAAATAATCTAGCAAATGACAATTAGTACTTTTAACAAGTCTTTTTGCTATCTATTAGTGACTAACAGGTTTTGCTGCGACAGCATAAAATTTGCTGTACCAGCAACATTATTTTTCTCCGTGTAGTAACACTTGCTGGAGAAATGGTCCTCCTGACTATAATTCTTTCCCTCTTGTGTATAGTCATGGGATTACAGTTACAAATATCAAATATTTTTCTCTCGGTGTGATTTAAAATGTACGATAAGTAAACATCTAGCTCCCGGATAACTGATGATAAAAACTACACAAAGCTCCTAATGAATTGAATTTTCGCACAAAAGCATATCCTTCGGTTACAACTTCAAATAGACTATATTTTAATAAATTCCTGCTTCACGAAAGTTTTATACGGAGAAAAAATATTAGTTAAATCAACGGGACGATGAATAAATGCATTTTAGTCGAAGGAAATGGAAAATTTCTGGCTCTCATGAACCAAAAAATTTGGTTCTTAGAGCGAGAAATTCCATTTCTTTCAACGGAAGCACGTTTTCGTTCGTCGTCGTGTTAATCCAATCGTTCTTTTCTTTCTATATTCAAAGAAAAAGATTTCTTAGGATTTAGTAAAATTTCTTTAATTAAAACAAATGTGTCTTTTGGAATAAAATAAACGAACGTTTGATGCAATAAACATGATTGTTTGATTTTTCAAACAATAAATATCTTTACGTCAAATAATTTGTATATTTTATATTTTCATCTAAAAGTGACAATAGTTGTTACAAGCACTAAATTATTTGAAGGAAGTAACAATATGTTAGAAAAATGTTACAGAACTTTTTTCTCTCTTTCAGTTGGACGATATTTAACATATAATGAAATAAATTGTTCTTATTGAAAACAAAATATTATATTCCTTTTAAATAATACTGTCTTTGCCGTGAAAAAGGTAATTTATTCTATCGTAATAACAATATTTTCATAGAGACAAGATCATACTTGATATTAAATTACATTGTTTCTATTAAACAAGCCCAAATCAAACAAAAACACGTGCAGGTCCAAATCCAAAGAAACCTTTTTTTCTCCGTGCAGCCGTAAAGAAATGGAATATTAAATATTGCGAAGACGTGACAAACGACATCGTCGTTCGGCACCGTCGCTGGAGGAAAGTCACCTTTAAACCGACCAAGGTTAGGAGGGCATTCGTTCTGTGATACCCTCTGGGGACAGGTGTGTCGCGCTAAGACACCGGCGACTCGGGTGAAGCGCTGTTATTATTGATAGTTAACGTTACGGCTCTCTTTCCACGATCATATTCTCAGGTGGAATTTCAGCGGGACCTAGACTCCTCCGAGAACAAGCGTCGGGTTCCTTTAAGCTGCAAGCTCGAGAAAACACGACTGTCGGCTTAAATTAGGAGCGCGAGTTCTCGACAAAGCTACGGGATAGTGAGCAAAGAGGTTTCCTTAATTTTCCCTTATCATCTCTTATCTGCGCCCGGAACATCATGTGAGTTTACGAGCGCCCGTTCCCGTTGCTCGCTTTGACCGCTTGTGCTTAGTAATACAGGGTAGATTTCGCTTGGACTTTGTTCTCTAATCTCAAAGAAAGATCCCAGGAACGAATGAAGTGCTCGCGCTTTCCGCAAGCTGTCTATTTGCGGCAGAAAAAATCACCTTCGCGCCGGGCCACGTCAACCAACGATGAGGACGAAGCGTGGATCGAAGTGTCGATCGGCCGGCGCGTAAAATCGCGTTTCCTAACGAGAGCGGTACTTTCGCGGCAGGTTCTCTCACGAATGACGAAGACGAATGAAGAACGGAGCGCAGGATGAAAAATCGCGGCGAAAACCGTCGCCCGTACACAATGGACTGTGTAACAAGGGCTTGCGGCGTGCGCCAATGTTGACTGAAGTACGGGGGGAGAAATCAACAAATTGGATTATCGATTTTTCGCGATCGTGTTCGGCAGCGTAACGATGTTACACCGAAGAGAATTAGCGAAACTCCGTTTCCGAGTACCTCGCTCCGGAAAATGTGCGGGCGTTGAAGGCGCTCTCGCCTGGAAATTCTGCAAATTCGCGCGCGACGGCCGGTGGAACGGACGACGCGCGGTGATCGACAATCGAAGGGACTCACCGTGATTATCCCGAGTCGCACTGGTTCCCCCGCAGGCGCTCTCCTCCGCGACCGCTCGTTCCTCTAGCTTCTCGACGGCTCCCGAATCCTCCCTTTATCACTCCGGGATGTGTCGTTCGGCTGCTCTGGGTCTACGCGTCCTGGAGCACTCGCAGCGGTTTCCCCTCGCACATCGTCGCCCTCCTCTCCTGCTGCTCCTCCTCTTCCCCCGTCAGCTCCTCCCGTAAAAATCGGAGAATCCAAGAGCGGAGAGTCCGGATCGTTTTCGCAGCCGATCCTCCTGACGGGATTGGACGGTCTCTTCCTTCCCGACCGGCACTCGGGATTCCGTTCGAAGGGACGAACCCTCGTCGAATCGGCTCGCGACGGGTGAGAGACAGAAAGATAACGAGAGAAGGAAGAGAGAGAGAGAGAGAGAGAGAAAGGGAGCGTGGATCTCGAAAGCTCCGCTTCACACGGAGCGCAGTGGAGAACTGAGCGAAGTGCCGGCCGGTCGAGCTGCCAGGCGGGCTTTTCCGAGCGGCTTAACCAATCGCGACTTCTCTCTCGCCCCCACGTATCTCTCTCGCGCGCTCTCTCCTTCGCTCCCTCACCTGCTCGTGCGCTCCACCTCCCCCCTCCGCTCGTCCTCCTCCTCCCGACGCATTCGTTCGCCGCGGCGGAGACGCGCTCGCCGGTCCCGCGGCGCGATGCGTCCGTCCGTCCGTCACAACCCCCGCAAGTGCAGCATCCCCTCGATGGATGCGCGATCGCGAGGCCGACTCGCGAAATCTGCGGAACGAAGATCCCGCGACACAGCCGAATCGCGATTTTTAGAAGCCCTCACAAGCACACGGAAAAAATTAGTATCAATTCAAGACTCATATATACAAGGTGTCAGAAAAAAGTACTCGGCATTCATATGGTAGATAGTACATACTATACTGAATAAAGAAGTTTTAGCAAACATAGGTCGAAAACTCAATCGTTCTTGATGTATTGACAATTTTATATATTAATATCATGAAATGTCTAAACAGAAATATGTAGCCTCACATGAGGATGAAACTTGTGTTAATGGTAAGGAAGGTCCTTTTAGCTCGGAATGGCTTAATGTACGCATTGAGAAAAATATCCGATCACATCTGATCGGATAGTGCAATTAAAAAAATAACAAACGGATATATCGAGTGCGATATATCCGATCACTTCGTCATATCACCCGATCCAAATTGTGCTTTTATCCGGCGAAAATTATAACTGATACATAAAGGGCGAGTAATTTTCCGATTGGGTTTCACCGGTAACCGCATCGGTAACTTCATCGGATATTTCATCGGGTAAAAGTATCCGTCACTTGATCGGACAATAAAAATAACAACTGGATATCATTTAATCGGTTTATCCGACGGAAATTTTCCTCAACGCAAGTATACGGCGACGAGTTCAAGGTTCGAGGTTCAAAGTTGAGTATACCGATGTCTGTCGCTAAGTGCAGGAAGTGTCATATACTTGAAAATTAGGTCATTCTGAACAAAACATTCCTTTACCATCAACACGAACGGCCACGCAAACGTTTGTATTATTAATTAAAGAAGACTCTATACGTGTCCGTTTTCAATCATTAATAACTCCAAATTTTGCGTGGTCATTTTGCAAAATGATACAGGACTTTTTCATTCACATCGACTTAAACTACAAATATACGACAGATGGGACGGCTTGCGTCAGACATCCTCATAAATAAGCTAAACAATGTGCATATCCTCAGATAAGTGTGTCTAAACTCGATACATTAGAAATATTCTTCATAGATGAAGGCATTCGAATAACAAATCTGGTTCTAATTAAACGTGACTCGAGCGATTTCCATATCGACGAATGAAATTCCGAAACAAGAACACGTCGAATACGCGTCGCGGTCGACTTGGTTAATAACGCACTTAACGAGCGATTAGCCGAGATACGTTGCACCTGCTTTTCTCTCCCCCGAGATTCTACCTGAGTGTGATTTTATTTCGATCCCCCTTCCCTCGAAGTAGTCCTCGCGAGAACTCGTTGAAAATTTAATTCCTAACTTCAGCGGGCGCCTCACGAGCGCGCGCGCGCGCGCGGCGGAAGCTGTCTAAATCCGAAATCCCCGCAGTCGGAAACACGCAATATCGCGCCGCGGAAGTTCAACCGGCCGGGGTCGTCGTAAAATCGCAGAAAGATTTCTAGGACAACCGGATTCGCCGGAGTCGCGAAGTAGGTTAACCAATCGCGAATTTTCTACTAGTTCGACGCCCTTCTTTATTCCCTCCCTCCCCTCTCCTCTCGCGCCCCCTGGGTCGCGTCGGGACGGAATGGCTCGTCGCGCCTTCTGCCTGACGACGCGACCCCCGGCACCGGAAATTAAACGTGGAAACAGTACGACGGACTTCAATTCGCGAGATAATATTTTCGGTTATATCTACCGGAAGTCGCAGCCGTCTCTCTGCCGCGGACGGCCGGGTCGAATCGTTCGGAATAGATTCGCGGGAGAAAACGGGAAATGCGCGTCAGTTCCGACGGTCGGGGAGAGCATTTTCGGCGGAAATTCTCGCGGGCGCGCGCGTTTTATGTAAGCGCGGACGCGGTCGCCATACGTCGCGCCGCCTTTCTAAAAGAAATGTAAATCCATTTAACGGCCAACGGTTTAGTCTGTTTACTTTCGGAATTCAAGCGCTTCGCCTGCGGAATTAGGACGGGGAACGTGGGAATACCGCGCCGTGGGGACACGCGACGCATCGGTAAACGCGCGAGGCGCATCGGCCGATGCCGCGGCGATGATTATTCGCGCGCCGGCGACGCGCTCCCGATCGCCAATGGACGCGACGCGTTTCTTGCTTCCAATTTCTTTCCTTTTCTTCCTACGAAGGAGGAGTCCGCAAATTTTTCATCGCGACGCGCGCGTCTGACGATCCCGACGACGCGCCGACAATCGTGAGGAAATTCGCCGCTCGCTCCGCGCGTGGTGTGAGCGCGCGAGTTCAAGTCAGCTTTTCCGATTCGCGATCGCGATTAACGATTCGCCCGGTCTTAACTGAATTTCGCGGTGGCGAAGCTACGAGCGCGGGAAATCGATGGGTTTCCTACGCGCGAGCAAGCGAGAGAGCGAGAGCGGACGAACGAGAGGGAGAGTGAGAGAGAGAGAGAGAGAACTGGCAAAATTGAATTATGGATCAGGGAGACAGTCCGACGAGCCGGTACTTCGATGCGAGAATTAAATACACCGTGTCTCCTGGTTATCGGCGTAAATACGCGTCGCAGCGTTTCGGTCCGTTTAATATGCACGGCGTCGCGCGGCTTCGCCACGACTTGTCGTTATCTGCGAAACGCGTGGCTGCCGGTCGGCAGTGACTTTCGAAAAAGAGCGCGTCGAAAAGATCGTGTACTCTAAAACAAAACCGACTACAGCCATACAGCAAAGAGTTGCAAGAGACGTCCTAAGGATGTCCAGAGGACGTCCCTAGGTTCTAAAGAGCACGTCCGTCGGATAAAGTCTGCTGTATGGATAGAGTTCCCACAGAACTCTACATAACTCAGTCTGAACACTGATTTTTGATTGGATTCATCATGTTTGGGTCTAGCCTGCGGTTGAAATGTTTCGAAAGTTGCTTCCCAGCAATATTATGATCTTCTTGAAAGACTTTTAGTCTTAATTAATAATTAATCACAATATAATAATTAATCACAATATGCAACAGAAGTTCACTTTTCTTTTAATACTCTTCGTAGATTTCGTAGATAGTTTCTCTTGCTCCCGTTATCATTCATCTGGTAATTTTGATTGTTTTCCAGCAAGAGGCAAAAGCCGACACAAGTTTAATCATATCATCCATCATTCTTTTCTTTAACAAACTCGAAATAAGTGTAATGCGACAACAAACGATGATAAGCGAAAAGAAAAGCGAATTTGTATGCTTCATATCGTGGTTAATTATTCATTTATTTTGATTCGCGCTTATTTTAGTAGTATTTGAATATTTTGCGTACTACGATGATCTTCCGATTTTTTACCGAAACACGGCGGCAACAACGACAATATCCGCACAGAAAAAAATAGTCTTAAATCAATAATAAATAGTCTCATATATAAGCAAGAATATTATAACATTCTTGCTTATATATGAAAATATCTCATCGATACCAATTTAATCAAATCAAGAATTAAAAATCTCCTAAGACGACTATAGTATTTTTACTTATACTTACATGAGAATATCTATCATTGATTTAAGACAAATTTTTTTTCCGCGCGAACTCTTATAGAGACTCGAAAGCCGAGCGTCGTTTATTTCGCGAATGATGCATGGCTGCGCGCAATTGCGGGGCATTGAAAAATCTCGGCGAGGCGCATCCGCGAAATCGCGCGCAGAGCGTCGTTTGTAACGCAAGCTTCCCAAATAAAAGCTATATCGCGTTCAAATATTATTTCGCGGAGATCCCCCCGCTATCGACGCGCGTTCCGTTGTAAGAGACCGGGTTTTCCTGGTCGAAGAGATTTTCTCGCTCATAGCCTCGCAATATGCGGGGCGTCCCGGGGGAGAAGTTACCCCGATATATACCCCTGCAGTTGGCTGAACCGAACTATACACCACATCGGCGTAAAACGTTAAGCGACAAGCGTGTCGATGAGCGCGCGCGCGCGCGTTTGCGCGAGAGAATTTCCGCGAGGTGAAACCCCGGCGTCTTTTTCAATAACGCCACGACGAGTATTCGCTACGGCACGACCCCAGCAGGGATTCGCCGCGGGAACGTGCCGGGATTCGGACCGCAACGTCGTCGTCGTCGTAAGGTCGGGCGGAAAAGAGGACGAAAACAAAGCTCGGCGAATCCGCGTCTACGTGCCGCGGCGCCGAGCCCGGCATCGAACGAAACGTGATCGAGGCCTCACTTTCGAAGTCGCCTGCAGTCACTCGTTCGGAGAGCGTCCTGGTCGCTTTCCTAACGACCAGCCCGTGCTTTTACCGACGCGGACGCCTTTACGATGCTCGCGACGTGCCGTTTTCATTGTCCGCATCGCGCGTTTTACGTTATACGCGATTACAACGCGCGGCGTCTCCTCTTCGAGACGGTAACTACAGAGCAGATGCAATAAGCATACACCTCTGTGTGTGTGTGTGTGTGTGTAAAATTATACGTTTATGCGTATGACTTGATTTTCCGTGTAAAAAGCGCACACATCTGACTCTGTAAGAAAAATCAATTCTTTTGAGTCCTTCTGAGTTTGTATCTACCTTTTGACAAGTCGGTATTTAAAATTTTTTAATTTACTATTATATTCTTTGTTTCTTCCATGAGAGAGAATTCATTTTGAATAAATATATAAATTTGTAAAAAAAATTGTGTTTTTTTCTAACAAAACTTGTTTTGATTTATTTTAATAGGATTTTAGTTATTTTTAGTAGGAGGACTATATTATCACCCCTATCTCTCCTT